CTCCTGGGACTCATATGCAAAAATATAAAATGTGCATGAGTGTTTGGGGGAAGCTCCATAGATAAGACATAAATTTGAACCTTAACACTGAAGGATGGGCAGAGTTTCAATATACGTTCTGAATCTGGGGATTGAATTTGGGTAGAACATTACCTGGAAGCAAGTGTCTGGTTTCCAAGTTGGACCCAGAGTTAAAGATAAAAGGGAAGGTCTGGAAGAGTAAGTAACCCAGTGCTTCTCAAACTTGAACCTGTATAAGAATCACCTGGGGAACCTGAAAATGCTGATTCTGATTCATTAATCTGGGGAAGGGCCTGATTTCTGCATTGCTCACAAGCTTTGAGGTCATGCTGATGCTGCTGGTCCATGGACCACCCTGGGGGTTGGGCAGAGCAATTCAAACAAACAGCCCAAGTGTTGATTCTGGAATGGTAAAACAAGATTTTTTTGCAAGGCAGAATATCAAGGTAGCATTTTTATTACCAGAGATTTTATTAAAATGCTAACAAAGGCCAAGCAGATGAAAGAATAAAGTGAAATGGTGCAGTGCTCTGCAGAACTGAAAAGTAAAATCATGTGGTATTTGTCTTTCCCTGTGTAACTTATTTCACTTAGCTTAATACCCTTGAGGGCCATTCATGTTGCCACAAATGGCAACATTTTATTATTTTTTTATGGCTGAGAGATTCCAACTAATGTGTGTGTGTGACATCTCCCTCTCTCTCTCTCTCTCTCTCTCTCTCTCTCTCTCTATATATATATATATATATATATATATATATATATATATATATATATATATATCACATATATACACCACATCTTCTTTATCCATTCATCCATCAATGGACTGCTGCAATGAACATAGGGGTGTGTGTATCTTTTCAAATTAATGTTTTCATATTCTTCAGATAAGTACCTGGTAATGGAATTACTGAATCATATGGTAATTCTATTTTTAATTTTTTGAAGAACCTCCACACTGTTTTCCTTTGTGCCTACACAATTTACATTCCCACCAACAATGCATGAGGGTTTCCCTTTTCTCCACATCCTTGTCAGCACTTCTTATTTCTTTCCTTTTCATAGCCATTCTAACAGGTGTGGGTTGATCTCAATGTGGTTTTGATTTGCATTCCCCTGACGGTTAGTGATACTGAGCATCTTTCATGTACCTGTTGACCATCTATATGTCTTCTTTAGAAATGTCTATTCAGATCCTCTATTTTTTAATTATTGTTTTGTTACTGAGTTTTATGGATTATTTTTATATTTTGGATATTAACTCCTTACCAGATATATAATTTACAGATATTTTCTCTAATTTATTAGGTTGACTTTTATTTGATTTCCTTCTCTATGCATAAGCTCTACAGTTTGATGCAGTCACATTTGTTTATTTTTGCTTTTGTTGCTTTTGCCTTTTGAGTTAGATCCAAAAAAAAGTATCACCAGGACCAGTATCAAGGAGCTTACTGCCTATGTTTTCTCCTAGTTATTTTATAAATTTCGGTCTTACATTCAAGTCTTTAATCCATTTTGAGTTACTTTTTGTATCTGGTATAAGGCAGTGGTCTAGTTTCATTCTTTTGCATGTGGCCATCCAGTTTTCTAAATACTATTTATTGAAGGGCTTGTCCTTTCTCCATTGTATACTCTTGGTTCCTTTGTCATAAATTAATTGACCATATATATGTGGGTTTATTTGTGAGTTCTCTATTCTGTCCATTGATCTATTAATCTGTTTTTTTAATAACTATTTTTGCTATTTATTTGAAGCACAGTAAAAAAAATTGGTACACTTTGGAATCTGTTTTTAATGCCAATACCATACTGTTTTGATTATTATAGATTTGTAATATGGTTTGAAATCAGGGAGTATGATGCCTCTAGCTTTGTTTTCTTTCTCAAGATTGCTTGGTTATTCAAGCTTTTTGTGTTCCATACAAATTTTAGCACTGTTTGTTCAAATTCCATGAAAAATGCCATTGAAATTTTGATAGGCATTTCATTGAATCTGTTGATTGCTTTGGGTAATATGGACATTTTAACAACATTAATTCTTTCAAACCATGAGCACAGATTATTTTTCCATTTATTTGTGTCTTCTTCGATTTCTTTCATGAATGTCTTACAGTATTTAATATATAGGGAGGTCTTTCACCTCCTGGTTGAATCTATTCCCAGGTATTTTATACTTTTTAATGCAGTTGTAAATGGGATTGTTTTCTTAATTTCTTTTTCTTACAGTTCATTGTTACTGTATAAAATGCAACAGATTTTTGTATATTGATTTTGTATCCTGCAATTTTATTGAATTTGTTTATTAGCCCTAATAGATTTTGGTGGAGTCTTTAAGATTTTTCTCTATATAATATTATGTCATCTGCAAATAGTGACAGTTTTACTTCTTCCTTCTAATTTGAAAGTCTTTTATTTCTTTTTATTGCCTAATTATTCTGGCTAGAACTTCCAGTACTGTGTTGAGTAGAAGTAGTGAGAATGGGTACACTTGTCTTGTTCCTGATCTTAAAGGAAAGGTTTTCAGCTTTTTACCATTGAGTATGATGATAGCTATGGGCTTGTTATATATGGCTTTCATTATATTGAGGTACATTCCATCTATACTCACCTTGTTGAGAGCTTTTATCATAAATGGATGTTGAGTTTTGTCAGATGCTTTTTCTGCATCTACTGAGATGATCATATGAATTTTATCCTTCATTAATGTGGTGTATCACCTTGATAGATTTGTGGATGTTGAGCCATTCCTGCATCTGTGGAATAAATCTTGCTTGATTGTGATGAATGAACCTTTTAACGTACTGTTGAATTCAGTTAGCTAATATTTTGTTGAGGATTCTGCATCTATGTTCATTAGGGATATTGGCCTGTAATTTTTTTTTTTCTTGTGTGTCCTTTTCTGGGTTTGGTATCAGGTTAATGCTGGCCTCATAAAATGAATTTGTGAGCATTCCTATCTCTTCAATTTTTGGACAAGTTTGAGAATGAGAAGTGTTAAATCTTTGAATGTTTTGGTATAATTCTGTCTTGGAAGATTGTATTTTTCTAGGAATTTATCCATTTCTTCTAGTTTATCCAATTTGTTGGTGTATAATTTTTCATAGTAGTCTTTTATGATTATTTGTATTTCTTTGGTGTCAGGTGTAACTTATCTGATTTCATTCTGATTTTATTTATTTAAGCCCTCTCTCTTTTTTTCTTAGAGAGAAGTCTAGCTAAAGGTTTTTCAATTTTATCTTTCAAAGAACCAGATCTTGGTTTTATTGATCTTTTCTATTGTCTTTTTAGTCTCTATTTCATTTATTTCCACTCTGATCTTTATTTTCCTCCTTCTACTAACTTTGGACTTTATTGTTCTTTTCCTGGTTTCTTTGGGTGCAAGGTTAGTTTATTTGAGATTTTTCTTGTTTCTTGAGGTGGTGGCCTGCCAACAACTTTGTCTCCAATTGTTTCAGATTTGTAGGGCCTAAAGATGCTCCATGGTCAGCAGAGCCAGGCACTCAAGGGGCATCTCCTGTGTTGCCTCTACTTGCCTGCTGGCTTTGGCAGGTTTGTGAGTGCAGGGCATTCAGCTCTCCAGCTCTGGCAGGGATGCAGGGGCAGTATAAGAGTGGGGCACACCCACTAGTGTTAACAAGGTAAAGGAAGAATGCAAAAATGGCACCAACTAGCACCTCTATCCCTGGACAGAGTCCTAATAGGCTCTGCCCCTCTTGAGATGCTTTAGATTAGCAAATGACTCTCCTTCATGTATGGTCTAGGCAATTTTCAAACTGCTGATTTTGTGCTGAGTCCCAGGGTGGATGAGTTTGTACATGAGCCCTTAAAGAGTAAAATCTCCATTCCCTACAGCTTCATGGTTCTCCTGAACCTAAGCCTCACTGGTTTTCAAAGTCAGACATTTCAGGAACTCTTCTCACTGGTGCAGATCCCAAGAGTTGAGGTGTCCAATGTGGGACACAAATTCCTCACTCCTCAGGGAGAAACTCCGTATTTTGAGATACCTCCCAGTTGTGGGTCACCATACCGCACATTGGGGTTTTTGGTGAAACCACATCTTTGTCTCTCGTACCTGTCTGGATGTGGCTCTTTTATCCCTTGTTATGAAGGAAACTGTTCAGCTAGTTCTTCAGAAAAAAATTATCTCATGTGTAGCTGTAGATATGTTACATCTGTGGGAGGAAGTGGGTTCAGTTCTGCCATCTTGAACCCCAAATCTCAACCATTTCTTAACAATGCCCTAAAACAGAAACACAATTTTATACCTAGCAAAGCAACAGATTCTCTTAGGAATTTCATTTCTGTTGAGTCTCCCTGTGTTTCCTCAGGAGCTCAGTTGTCTTTCTAAAAAGCAAAGCAGGAGGTTCTTAACCTCCAGGTCCATGTTACTTAGGAGCTGATTTAGTCTCATCCATGTCACATAACTTGGCATGTCCTTCTTTCTCTGAAACAAAGCACAGCAAAAAGTTTTTTCTAGGTTGATTTCTCCCTTTTATAGGAGGGGAAGGCAGGTATACACTGGTGCCAACCAATAGGCACCAGGGAATGCAATTGAAAGTCACATATGTCGTGCCCCAGGGGAAAGGCAGTAACTTGACTACTTATGCACTCCAGAAGAACTGGAAGTTCTTTTTAGGCATTTTATAGGCAAATAAAGGTGAACACAAGCATTCATACACACTGAAAGGAGCACAGAAAATTGACTATACACCGTTATCTGTTTTGAAGGAAATGTGAAAGAAACTTTATGAAGGAGGATTTTTTGTTTTGTTTTTGGTTTTTCATGTGTACTAAATTTTGGCCCTTAGAATCCCTAAGAAATAACTATTTACTGCCCAACTCAAAGGTGCAGAGGCCTTCAAGTTTCTTTTTACTTTCTCGGTGACACAACTCCATTCAGCACATGTGGTTGTGATTTAAATGATGATTTTCCAGCCTCATTATTTCACCTTGCATTTTTCCTTTGTTCTTTCCAGGAAGCAGAATGTGCCTACACACTCTTTGTCATTGCCATGTTTTGGCTTACAGAAGCTTTGCCTCTGTCAGTCACAGCTTTACTGCCTGGTTTAATGTTTCCGTTGTTTGGGATCATGACTTCTAAGAAGGTAAGTCCTCTTGCAAATGTTTGTCATAATTAGGTTCCTTATTTTGTGCTGATACTCCCACTGAGAAGAGTTGTATGGAAAAGGAACAAGAGGGGCACCTGGGTGGCTCAGGCAGTTGAGAGACCAACTCTTTGATTTCGTCTCAGGTCATGATCTTGGGGTTGTGAGATTGAGCCCCGTGTGAGGCTCAACACTCAGTAGAGACTTAGAGTCTCTCCCTCTGCCCCTCCTCCTGCTCTCTCTCTCTCTCTCAAAATAAATAAATAAATCTTTTTTTTTTTTTTTTAAAGGAACAATAATCCTGCCTTCCCAGGCTGATATCTATGCCTGGTGTCTCCTTCCCAACAAAAGGACCAACCCTTTTACATCCTGCATTAGCTTTTTCTTTTCAGCAGAATTTGGTCTTGCACAGTGTAAGCAATTTCTGTTTTAATGAAGAAAAATCTACCCTGTTTTCTTTTCCAGAAACCTGCCATTTCAAAAGATAAAGCCAAATTAACTTTCAGGTGTATTTCTATTTTGTTCTTGCTGAGAGGAGTTTATTCATGCTGAGAGGTGTTTCTTACCTTTATACAATCTAAGGGTACCCCCGTCTGAAGAAAATGGATTCAGTTTCCCATTAAAAGCATGAAATGCATTGGAATCAGAATATCTATCTTCATGCAGTCTCCACACCCAGCACACAACTGCCTAAACGATAGCTGAAAGAGTCTCAGGAAAGATGCCAAGTTCAAGATGCCAGTTCCTGCAATTTATCACCTTTGGACTTCTGTCTTCTGCCAAAGTCCAATATTGTTATCTTGAGGTTCATCTGTCTTGTAATGTGGGTGGAGATTTTTCTTTTTAACTAACCCATGATACAGGGCTTTTTTGTTCTGCGGGAGAAGGTATTCTTTTCCTTCTCTTTATGTCATTCTTCCTCAGTTTGTAGTTCAAGCCATCTTTTTGCATTTCAGATCCATTTTGCTCCTCTTTTCTTACTGCATTTTTCCTTCCCTCATAATCCTGACTCTTTTCTTTATAAACACCACTGATTGGGAAGAGAGGGCAGCCAGGGCTGACACTGCTGTCCCACAGAATCTGGGCTCTATAACTAAAGAAGTTTTTCAAACGCTCCAACACACTATGTGGCTCTTAGTAAAGGAAATTTTAAAAGAAGGGATTGGCAAATTCTCAAAAATAATGTGTCAAGTTGTTAACCCCTGTTCTGCTGGCTTGGGTGGTTGTACCTCTAAAGACAATTAAGTTCAACAGTGACATATTTGTCTCTTATGATTTAATAACAATAAAACTGACCCTTTTTTTAAAAGATTTTATTTATTTGACAGAGAGAGACACAGCGAGAGAGGGAATACAAGCAGGGGGAGGGGGAGAGGGAGATGGAGAAGCAGGCTTCCCACCAAGCAGGGAGCCTGATTCAGGGCTCGATCCCAGGACCCTGGGATCATGACGTGATCCGAAGGCAGATGCTTAACAACTGAGCCACCCAGGTGCCCCTAAAATTGACTTTTTTATACAGGCTGAGATAAAAGCAAGATTAACTGGAATTGGGGCATTTCTGTAGCAAACAGGCTAGAGGAAGACAGGAGGAAAAGTGTGCCTAGGAAAGCCTGGCTTTGTGAGAACTGCCAAAGAAATATCTTTGCCTCTTTACAGGATGTGGAGGCCCAACTAGACGCAGCGAAATTCTAAGTACCATCAGCAGTTGTATGACTCAGACTGCTGGTACCTGTCCAAGAGTCCATCATCCCCTGGAAGTATCAGCCTCAGACTAATTTAATGGCCATAGAATCTTAGACTTGGAAGCACATTCTTCTGGTCATTTCATGCTGGGGCAGATTCCTCCTCCCAATAGTTCTTATAGATGAGATCACTCAGGAAATGATTAAAGGCTTTCTGTGTATGGGCCCAAAATACCCCACAAGGAAATACATATCATTTTCGAAAACTCTGAATATTTAAGTCACTCACCTTTATTGAGCCCAAGTGTGAAACTCAGTCACTTTGACTCTAAATTTTTCTCTAAACACCTAAGATTACACACACACACGCACACATACAACAATAACAACAACAACAAAAACATCATCTTTTTCCCACATGACAATGTTGCTTGGATGTGAAAATAAATATCATTTCCTCCTTAAGTTGTCCTATCTCCTGTCTTTATGGTTTCCAGACCTCAACTCCCTTCTTTAACCCCACCACCTCCACCTGCTTCGTCTCCACCATCTTCATTCCTCTTCCTGGAACTACCTCTAGTTTATCAGTGATACTTAGAGATTAAGTAGTTAATAAATGCAATGTCTGTCATGCGGTAAGCACTCAATATATATTAGCAATATTATTTTTTTTCTTTTTTTAAATTTTTTTATTGTTATGTTAATCACCATACATTACATCATTAGTTTTTGATGCAGTGTTCCATGATTCATTGTTTGTTCATAACACCCAGTGCTCCATGCAGAACATGCCCTCCTCAATACCCATCACCAGGCTAACCCATCCCCCTACCCTCCTCCCCTCTAGAACCCTCAGTTTGTTTTTCAGAGTCCATTGTCTCTCATGGTTCATCTCCCCCTCTGACTTACTCCCCTTCATTCTTCCTCTCCTGTTATCTTCTTCTTTTTCTTTTTTCTTAAAATATGTTGCGTTATTTGTTTCAGAAGTACAGATCTGTGATTCAACAGTCTTGCACAATTCACAGCACTCACTGTAGCACATACCCTCCCCAATGTCTATCACCCAGCCACCCCATCCCTCCCACCCCCAACCACTCCAGTAACACTCAGTTTGTTTCCTGAGATTAAGAATTCCTCATATCAGTGAGGTCATGTGATACATGTCTTTCTCTGATTGACTTATTTCACTCAGCATAACACCCTCCAGTTCCATCCACGTCGTTGCAAATGGCAAGATCTCATTCCTTTTGATGGCTGCATAATATTCCATTGTGTATATATACCACATCTTCTTTATCCATTCATCTGTCGATGGACATCTTGGCTCTTTCCACAGTTTGGCTATTGTGGACAAGCAATATTATTATTATTTGCACATTGGCAAGAGTGAATAGGTCACTCTAGAAACATTCTGACTGTTGCAAGGCTAAGTGAGTCTATCTCCCCTCTGGTATTTCAGCCTAAATCCATTTTAAACTTTATGTGACTTCTTTCACCTTAAGCTTAACAGGAACTTACAACAAATCAAACTCCTTAGGACTTTTAGTATAGAAAACTTTTCTTCGGTCTTGTGATCCTCTTTCCAGATAGGGCAACTGATCTTTTACTAGGAAATATCTGACCAAAGCTACAGGGAAAGGTCTAGAGATTTAGTCAGAAGACCTGAGCTTAACACCTGATATTCACCACTAATTACTTGTATGATCCTGATCATGTCCCTTAGCAACTCTTTTTTTCTCATCTGTAAATAAGGAATGATGATGCCACAATATCCAGGGGTTATTGTAATAATCAAATAAAATAATATACGTGAACAATGATACATACTAGGCATCAAGTATTCTTATGAGTTTTAATATCCACAGTTAAAGGTGTTAAACTATCATGCCAGCCTACTGAAGCATATTGGAATCTCAACTGTGCCATTGAGAATAATGTGTCTTTAATGTCCTCATCTAAGTTCAGAGCTCCACACAGCCTTCTCTTTGGCCACCATAATTTTAACCTCACTTTATGTATTTATTAAGCCAGTGCTAAATATCTATATGTTATTGAGAACCTTGTTGTAATAAAGAATATCAACAAATACTGAATTTCTCTCATATCCATTGAATAAAATCTGAAATGCTAAATATTTAGTGTGCCCCATTAGATAGTCCAAATCAGATATCATTATTATTATTGTCATTGAAAATATGCTTATAGGTAAATTTTATACATATAAATGTGGAGGTACACATACGTATATGCAGATGTTATATTACATATTTACTCAGTCATTTGATAAATATTTATGTGACTCTGATATATTCCCAAGACTCTGCTAGGCTCTTGGGAATATATCAATGAATAAATACAAACAAAAGTCCTTGTCTTCCTAGGAGAAAAGAGACAATAAACAACCTTAATATATGAGTAAATTACAATGAGTTAGGAGGTATTTGGTTTTATGAAAACATGCAACAGGATAATAAAGATCAGGAGAGAGTTGCAGTTTTAAATAGGATGATCAGAGTAGACCTCAATGAAGTGTGAATACCTTGAACAAAGACTTACAGGAAATGAGGGAGTTAGTCATGTGGTTATTTGGGAAACAACCATTGCTGAGGGGCAAATACCCACCACAAAGACTTCAAGGCAGGTATATGTCTATAGTGTGACTAAAGCAAAATGAGTGAAGGGGAGAATGACAGAAGGTGATGTCAGGGAGATAATTTGTAGAGGGACTAGACCATCTAGGGCCAAAGTAGGCCACTGTAAAGTTTTAACTCTCAATGAAATGAGACCCTCTAGAAAGTTTTGAGTAGAAGAGTGACATGATTAATTTGACTTTTATTTAGAAGGATAATTTGGACTGCTGTGTTGAGAAACAAGGCAGAAGGAAGGAAATGGGTAGCAGGTTATTGCAATAATCCAGCTGAGAGGCCATGGTAATTCAGACCAGGGATAGTAATGGGGATATTGAATATATTGTTAATGTATTTTTAAGATAAAACCAACAAAATTTCCTGCATGATTTTATATGGCATATGATGGGGGCAGGGAGAAGGATTCAAGGATGCCTCAGAACTTTTTGGCCTGGCAGTTGGAAAAATGGAGTTGCCATCAATTGAAATGGGGAAAACTATGGGCAGAGTAGGCTTGTTGCAAAAGAGAGGCTGACACTGGGAGTACAAAGTTTGACACTGTTTAAAATAACTATTTGATATCTAAGTGAAGGTGTTGAGTAGGCAGTTAAATACAAATGAGTCCAGATTTCATGAGATAGAGCTGAGTGGAAATATAAGTTTGAGAATCATCAACATATAGATGGAATTG